ATGGATTTGGCGTCATCAGCCATCCCTTCTCCGAAGAGCCTGTAGCCCTGCAGGCCGGGTGGCCGCTGGATGATGTTGAAGGCCTCTTGGATGAGTGGTCAGCGGCATGTCCAAGGCCAGCGACGTCTCACTGGAGCCACTGGCTACACTGGATTACCGGGTAGAAGCCGGATGTGCAGAATGGGGCAGGGAAGACCGTTTGCACCCGATAAGCAACAACGCCTTAGTGTTGCCCATTCGATGCCGATGACATTTATAGCTGTCTCCCATCTCTTCAGGAATTGGGTGATGGGCAGAGCAGCAAGACGCGGCAGGTCCAGCAAACGGCAGGTTGTGTGAGTGGTGAGACGTAGGAAAGGTGTACACGCGTTGCCTGCACCACTATAGACTCTGCCAGGTTAGAAGCCCAATAATATTTTGTAGATTCTCTGCTTCCCCACGCTTAGCCTAGAGGCGGAACTTTTTCATCGCATTAGCTTTTTACATTGGAACGTGGGGGGTCGGTGGAAGGCTGGTTAAACCGTTTGGTTTTCGACCACTAGGACCCGGGTTCGATTCCCGCATTGGACACTTTTTTCTGTTAAAAAAAAAAAATGCTCCAATGGCCCCTGATTCTTGCAAAAGTCCAACCCCACCAGCGAGTGCAAGTAACCAAACGGGGCTCTGGCATTTGTAAGTGCAAAGTCGAACTGCTTTTCACATGTGTAGACATGTGGTGCGCTTACAGTAAAAGCAGTCGCTAACTACCCACCATGATTATCATGGCCTGTACCACGTGTACTAGGGATAAGCAAAAAAAAAAAAAAACATTGGAACGTAATCCTTAAGCTAGTTTAACTTAATAATTATTTAAAGACTCTTTCTTAAAACAAAATCAGATATATATTATAAGGCAATAACGCGCCATCTATCAATATATATAATAAAATAAAACATTAAAGCACACGAATATATGTTTATTTTATACATAAAACAAACTTATACTCTTCTTTTTGCAATAAAAAAAAGGGAGGGTTTGGCTCATCAGTGGTGAACCCTCCCAGCGGTTTCGCCAATTTAATTTACCAGACCGCTTTTTATCCCGTTTATAGATTAATTTCCCGCTGACATGACGAGAAAACCCTTTACCTCCCCAAAAGGGAGAATATGTATTTGTAAAAACAATAAAAGTTTAAAATACTTATATACACAAAATTGCTATTAGCATTATTACAATTAAAATTAAATGCGATTTAAAATATTTCCTAAATGGTAATTATAGCTTTTAAATAATTGTTAATAAAAAAGAGTTTAAATATGAGGAGCCGTCTCTCCCTGCTGCAATGGTGATACGTCTTTTCTCATTGAGGACAAATTCATTGTAAAATTCAAATACAATAGGAGGAATCACCGGATGTTATTGCTAAGAAGAGACCAAAAGTAAAAGCGACGAGTTCCAGCATGAACGCAATTAAAAATATTGTTTTATATTTTTAAATCCACAGAAAAGTAATTTCGGTAAAAGGGGTGCAGGTAAATAATAACTTGAAGTGGTCTGCTAGATTTGTCCACAGGGCAAAGTGGTGGGATCTATGTTTTTGGCGACTACCATAATATTTCGAACGGGAATAGTCCGACAATGGCATGAGAAAAATCAAGATACACCGACACCCTGGAGGCTTTCAGCCTGCTCTAGGTGCAATATTCTGACAACTGGAAGAAGCGATTAAGGAATCTGAGTATCTGATGGGGACAGAAAACGGACGAGTCCTCTGACGCATACATTCAGGACTTAGGCCAATGGTTTAATCACGGAGATAGACGATGAATCCAAATTGGGACACTTGGGTAGATGGGAGTGGCAGAGGGCGTTTATCATATAAAATTGTAGCTATAATGTTATCCTTGGATGGTATTTTCTCAAATGAACTCAAGCTAAAATTAAATGTGAGCACACAATGAATGTTATTTGTCCTGTCCCCAATGAACACTTTTAATACTTTGAAGAATAACATTATTACACACCTAATTCAATCAAGAAAATACCTGGTGACTATAGCGACGTTCCTGGAGTTTTAGAAGTTTCCATTGCTTGTTCTATAAATCTTTGAATTTTAAAAAATAATTATTTCAACCTCTATTGTTAGGCTCAACCGTGAAAGAAGAAAGGACTGGATGAGGAATGGGGGTAACTATGCAGGTATCATTCCTGCAGGGATGAAAGAGGTTGAATTATGTTTCATAGATATCAGTAATAGATGGAGGCAGTGGTGATTTGGATCAAGATAAAGATAGATCCAGTAAAGACTTGAAATAAATTATGACCCTTATAGATACGAATCAATCCTATGAAGACAGAGGAAGACTATTGTCCTTTTTGGAAAGTTTATGGACGTATTCGATTTCTAAAAAGGGCCCCCAAACCCTCAAAAGATAAACACCGCTTTTTAATTAAGGGGACAATGCTCTATTAAACAATTTCACTATCGAGTGTAATCTAATGAAAGAAACATAATTAAAACGGACGTGGACAAGATGCTTAAATCAGGAATAATTCAAACATCGAAAGGTCCGTGGTCATCTCCTGTCTTCTTTAGTTATGAAGAAAAATGGATCCTGAGGTGCTGTGAGGATTACTGCCGCATGGAGAAAATAATCAGAAAGGATGTATATCCGTTTCCCAGAATTGATGACGCTCTGGACTCTTTAAGAGAAAATTTCATCTTCTTTACGATGGATTTGAAATCAGGTATTGTCAGATCGAAGTCAATTAAGCTGACTTTGAGAAGATTGCTTTCTTAAAATCAGTTGACCTTTTATAATCCAGAATAATGCCTTTTTTGGTTTATATGTAAATACACGGCAATCTTCTTCAAGAGAACACTAGATAACTAATTACAAGAGTTAAGTTGGCCATCGCTCTCTGTTACTTGGATGGTACAATAGTATTTTCCAAAACTACGAAAGAACATTTATAAAGTGTGAAAATAGTGATAAGCGTTGTTTTCAGAAATCGCATATAAAGCTTAATTAAGAAAAAATGTAATTTTATCTCTGGACATATTGAGCATTTAATTAATTATGATCCGGATAAAATAGAATCAGTGATGGATTTTCCAAGAACAACGAATGAATCAAGATACTTTTGGGTCTCTGCCCCTACTAACGTCGATTCATTAAGAGCTTTACTGTCATAACACTGTTACAAATGGAAATGCTTTTTAATGATCCATATAGCTAAAGCATAAGTGATAGAAAAATAGCTTACGAACAATCTTTATTATGATCTATATATAATGAAAACAAAAAGGAAAGATTACGATATTATTTTGTTGTCGAAGGTTAGTATTATTCTGTGGAACAAATTATATTGTTAATTAATCAATATTTATATACACCTTTCTTGACGTCAAGAAGATCTGTGACTTCAGGAAAATAAAGTCACTATCTGTTATAAAAACGGTCGCAAGCACAAGGACGTCTTTCTAGAAGCCTTCTACTCCAGATACTTCAGATGAAACATAAGAAGATATACCTTTTTAAAAATTTTGATGGATGTGCAATACGAAAAAAAAAAACAAGATACTTTATTGGCAAAGATAATAAAAATTGTGATAATCCTTATTTTAAAAGATTTGTCACTTCTAGTACACTCTTCGACAAAACATAAGAAAGTTGTACCTTTTAGCATTTATATCGGGATTCATACAATAACTCTGAAAGATATTTGATACACAGTGATCTTTATTGAAGACACACTAGATAACCAAGTGTGAAAAAAGTTGCCTCTGTCTCCTTAGAAGAATAGACGACTAGCGACATCAAAGACTTTCTACTTTCTTAAGTTTTGTCCATGACATATAAGGAAGACTGTATCCAAAGATGTGTGTGATACGTAAATGTGTTTTACGTATAAAACCCTACAAATATACTGGGCAACAGAACAATATCGTTTAAATATTTTGACTTTCTTTGTAAATTTTATAAAGAGAATAGAACTCCGCTATTCCAGGGAGAAAATAATGGCACGAAAATTTAATATAGTTTTATCCGGCAACATCAGGTGACTCACGCGCCCGGTGTTCGGAAAAGCCTTCTCCGGTGGACAAGAACTATTTTAACCTAAAATTTAAATTAGACTGTATATTATTTGTATTATATAATTTTAATGATATTTTTATTTTTAATTTTGATCTTATTATTTATATATTAATATAAATGCATTTTTTAAAACATTCTTCTATTCTCTATATTCCATTTTGAAGGTTAATAAATACCTGTTCAAAAATATCTCTTTTATCTTTTATTGCCAAGTATGTCACACAACTGGCAGATAATTGTGACATTATTTTTATATGAAGGACCTTCATATATATATCCAAGTACATAAATCCTCTATGTACATGCGCGAATTTAGAACAATTCTATATATCGAAGTTGAATTCGGAACAACTACATTTTTAAACAATGAAATATATAATATAATGCACGGCGGCCTGTGATTGTAAACGGACTCTTGAAGTTACACCGCATGAGTTTCTTTTCAATGAAAAATCAAAATTTATTTCAAGAAGAAATATTGACTATTTCTAACCTTTTAGGATGAGGCATGAAAGGGTGAATTATGAAGAGTAATGATGAACGGAAAATAAAAGTGTCCAGGGATGGGAATCGAACCCACAATGTTCCGCTTACCGGGCAGATGCCATGTCCACTAGGCTACCCTGGACGTATTTTTTCGTTCGTAAATAATACATAAAGTAACTTATAATACAATATAATTCACTGCGGCCTGTGATTGTAAAACGACACTTGAAGTTACACCGCATGAGTTTCTTTTAAAAGAAAAATCAAAATTTATTTCAAGGTGAAATATTGACTATTTCTAACCTTTTTGGATGAGGCATGAAAGGGTGAATTATGAAGAGTAATGATGAAAGTGTCGTTTTACAATCACAGGCCGCAGTGCATTATATTGTATTATAAGTTACTTTATGTATTATTTACGAACGAAAAAATACGTCCAAGTAGCCTAGTGGACATGGCATCTGACCGATAAGCGGAACAGTGTGGGTTCGATTCCCATCCCTGGACACTTTTATTTTTCCGTTCATCATTACTCTTCATAATTCACCCTTTCATACCTCATCCAAAAAGGTTAGAAATAGTCAATATTTCACCTTGAAATAAATTTTGATTTTTCATTGAAAAGAAATTCATGCGGTGTAACTTCAAATGAAATATATATTAAAAATAAAGAAGGCATCTCCTGACCACGAGCACATGTGCTTTTTAAGCGTCTTTACGCAAATTTGGCCTTAAATACCCATTTCTTGATTTCTCAAGAAGCCATTGGGACCAAAAATATTTTTGGTCGCAGTGGTTACAGTCTACTCCACGCTGACGAACGCCAACAGCGCGAAACGCGTTCGTGGATGGCTTTTCTTGATTTATCAAGAAATTGGGTTGGCCAAATATCACGGAGCAAGCTTAATAAACGTTTAGTTTATTTTTGCTCCACTAGATGGCGCTCGGCCATCTAAAAAGCACATTTGCTCGTGGTCAGGAGATGCCTTCTTTATTTTTAATATCAACACCTGACCCACTTATCTTTTATTTTTTCTATTATTTTTTCATGTGAAATATATATATATTTCTATTTTTTTTTTATTTTCACATATATATAATGCTATAAAATAGATTATATATATAATTTTAATAAATATTTCGAAAATAATTTTAAATTGATTTGCTACTATAGTGTCAGTTTATATATAACAAGTTAAAACCGAGCATGAATTACATAGCTAACTTAAGCATTTGATTTATACAGAAGATATTATGAATCAAATGCTTAAGTTAGCTAATTCATGTTCATTTTTAGCTTGTTATATAAACTGACACTATATTAACAAGTCAATTTTTTTTAAATGATTATTAAAATTCATCTATTTTATAATATGGTTTAATATACCAGTGTTTTATTTTTATCGAAACCTTTCTCAGTAGTAACGCAACGAAGGCAAAATGTGAAATAATGATGGAAAATTTACAGCGCGGAAAATGTTTGTGAGAAATAGAAGAATGGCAAAGGTCAATCTCTCTATGTCGACACGCGCCGTTAATGGCGAAAGATCCTTCAGACTCCACTTGATGGCATACATTTCTCCAGTTTGAAATTTCAGAAGAAAAATAATAAATAAGAGGATTAACCTTCTATTTCAGAGACATGTATTCTTATTACCCTTTACCACCAATCCACCTTGTTCTAATAAAAAAAACCTAGTTTGCATTTACAATAAACAAAACATAATTTCCCACACTCTTTTTGAATGCATAAATTCAGTATTTATTTCTCATGCAATTTTTCTAGTTTTTAATTCATATAAGTCACTAATGTTTTGACTGTGTAGTGGTGTACATTTTTTTCCTTTTCGGACACAGATCTTCCGCTTAAAGGACGAGATAATAAACACCAAAGCCTGCTGAGGCAACATAAGCAAATCTTACACAGAACATACTTTATGCTAAATATTAGATCAATTGACGCTATTTCTTAAAGTACAGACAATATAAGCATATAATGGTCATTCATTAGTTGTAGGGATCTGGTGAATTATATTGAACGAATCGCAAGAAAGGCTCGCCTCTGATACGTGGAGCCAAGCCTTACTAATTATTTTTCATCTTCAATAAATAAATCAGAAACTCTAGTCATTTACTCAAATAAAGAAATAGAGTTGAATAATGTATCCTTATGGCATACAGAGTGTGTTCTATGTGTATTGTTTACTGATATTGGCATTATACCTTATCCAAGTTAAATTCAAAACCTGGGTTTCAATTATGTGTTGAGCTATACCAGAGGTTTCGAATAATTGTTTCTTCAGTCCTTCTACGTTATTTTATCCTGGTTTTATTGGTTCTACTTGTTTATCCTCTAAACGGCGCATTTTAGTTTTGTCTTCAAACATAATAAATAACCTTTTCGATTTGACTTGGTTTTACTTTTATGGTTCATTTTGTTGAAGAAATAGTTGGATTGATATAAAAATGCTAGCATATCAAGTTTTTATACCTGGGAAATCTTTCACAAACAAAATGCATGTTCAACAGATGCCAGACTTTACATCTACTTTTACTTTTGGGAAAATGCCAATGAATATCTCTCTAATAGATTTTCCATGGACAAAATTTGTTATATAAGCTGGTAAAAATTGATAATTATTTGTCGTGTGAAATTGCGTAGATCACTATATCGCATATATCGACTGTTTTCATGAAGACAACTCATTCAGTTTCTACTAAGATCCAACGCAATAGGTAAAATATATAAATCAATATATAAGATTATATCAGTTATAATTTTGAATATGACCACATAAATATCGCGGGTTTAATGCCAAGTATCGGACATCCATTGAGAAAAACATTCCTGTTAACCTTTGCTGATATACAAGATAGAGAATTCTTCTGAGGTTTAATTTATTCTCCGTTTATAAGAAACCTACATTTATTTAATGAAAGTCGGTGCGACGCACTTTTCCTTCTTTGATTAACGACCAGCCTAATTGGAATTTACAATTGACCATAGCAGTGTTTCCTCATTTTTTTTTGCGGACAAAGAAAGCACTTTGTTGCGTCAGCTCAAATCGTGATGACTGATTTCCTTTTTATTTATTCTTATTGAATTCTTTACAGCAAAGTGTATACAATTTTACCACAAAATTAATAATAACGGTTGTTCGGAAAATACTGGGCAGAATTTGTACTCTTACCACCTTGTAAGTTGAAATCTATGAGAAATGGAGAGACCTAGGTCACGTGGAAAGCCGAATCGTATACGATCGAGGCCAACGTATTGTTCGAATAATTGTGAGTCTGCTCCAATTTGTGTCTTGCATACATAGTACGTCATTACCTAGAGGAATTATAATCTTGTCATCAGTTTTCAGCTAATATCGGGGGAAAAAGGTTGAAGACAGAAGATTAAAGTCTAAAAAGCCATAAATTACTATAACTTCTTCATAAACATATCAAAGAACTGCGATAGAGGGGTATCTACCTGGGACAATATTATTCATAAGTATTTGCATAATAAATAATAAGTTATCTTTTCTATCTAAAATATATAGTTTGAACCCTTTTCTATATAAATAATTTATCAACAATGGATAAAATGTCCACGTTTTTGTGTATGTGTTTGTTTGTGAATATAAAAATAGTATAACAAATACTTGAGAATATTAAATTCATGTTTACGATTTCACAATAATTATAATAAAATTTATAGAAGCAATGGGCGCTTCTCCCGTCAAAATAAACGTCAGAATCTGACGCCATAGATTTGGCCCAGCCACATTGCCAGCAAAACACCTCTTTGGTAGATTGTGAGGATTCCATTAGATCCCGTGTGGATCTCATGGAATAAAGTCCGCCCTAGACTGACGAGGGCCATTAGCCCGAAACCATGGTCTCTAGGTGGACGCTTATCAGTTTGCCAAAGTTGGTGTTTGTGGCTTTGTCACCGACCCGAGGCCGCTAGTTGCGGCGACGGTCAATAGATGGTGTCAGATTCTTACGTTTATTTTGACGGGAGAAGCGCCCATTGCTTCTATGGATTAATTTCCTCCGGGAAAAATTTCCATCTATGTTTTGCCAATAAAATTTATATATATTATATATTACATATTTTTATTTATGAATAATTTCCTTAAGTAAACACACACTCTCTATATATGTATATATATATATATAAAATGTAAATAATAAAGTTTATCAAATAAAATTTTAAATCTTAAATATAATTTAAATTAAGTTGATATTATAGAGTGAGTTAAGATGGATTTATATATTGATATAACTATATTTAAACTATATCATTTCAATTAAGTTTCTTTAAATTAGATAGAGAGAGAAGTTTCATATCTCATGATAAATAACACAGAAAGATAGAAAAATAATTTGACAATTTTAACAAAGTTTATAAACTTCTGGTGGAAAAATAAAAAATTTAAATAAAATATTAAAAAAAACAGAATGTAAAATAAATAAATGTATAAATATAATATATTTTATATATACTAGTTTTAAATTTTATTTTTTTGTAAACTAGATGTCAATAAACGGTGTTAGTTGCTAAATTGTCTCTCTCTGTTATTCATCTTAAGATAATACAATTCTTTATATTTTTAAAACTAGACGAATCCATCACTGAAGGGACGTTTGGATCTTATCAGCGGTTTCAAGCCGCCCTGAGTTTAAAATCCCCTTGGGTATCGCCCAGTTCTATCTTCCTTAACATGCTCAATTGCAATATTGAGGAATTCTCTCAGAATGGACTTCTGCCCAGGCGAGAGTTGTCTGAAGAGTTCCACCCTATCCGGGGGAATTAAACCGCGCATTCTATAAGTGTATATCGTCATTGTAAATATCATCATATAGGGAAGCTAGGAAAGAGTCAGCGTCCAGTTTCTCAAAGAGCTCCTCTACCTGTTCCTCTCTGGCTTGAGGAGTAGGTTTGTTTTGGGCCTTGAGGGTAGAAAACTAGATGGATGGTTCAGTCTTGCCCTGGATCTCTTTGGCAGGGGCCGCTGTTGGCCCAGTAATGGCCGAGGAGGGCGTTGGTAGTGACGGCAACGGACTGATACTCGGTGGAGCAGAAGGCTTGGTGGCTGGAGTCTCTTGGGAAGGACGGAAAAAGAGACGGCTAGATGCGGCAAGGATAGAAAGTGTCAAAAGGGTCTGCTTGATGGACTCGAACGCTCCGCGGTTTATGTAAAGAAGGCGAATTTGTTGGAGTTCGTGGGCTTGGAGGAGGATGGCGTCGACACTAGGCACTGTTGGCTCTCCTGATGACGCTCCCTGTCCGTGGCGGTGACATTTGCCACATTTTAAGCCGTAGGTGAGGTAATCGGGTGTAGACTTTCCTTGGAAGATGATCACCAGCTTGTCACGGTACTCCTCCTTTTAGCCGGTGGTCCAATTTTAGCCGCCACTGGACACAATTTCGTGTGCCAGGGCGATAAATTTGCAGTAGGGCCGCAGCGCTGCGATGACGTTTTCGTCCTTGATGGCAAGTGGAAGATTCCCAAA